AAAAAAAAAAAAAAAAAAAAAAAAAAAAAAAACTAACTTTTGTCATCTCCTCTTGCGAAAAATTAATCGGACGTACTGGAGTCGATTGATGTCGTGAGGACTGTAAATCTAACTTGTTTACTTCGCTCATTGGAGTATTGGTACGTGTTCCAGACTGGCTTCTAAACTGACATCATGGATAGCATAAAAATAACACTAGATTTTAAAAAAGGCTTCTTATTTCCTAAAATTACGTACCTATTAGCATTTGATCCTTTACACTTTAAAACATGTTCATCCAGCTGCAGTTGTTTTAAAAATGATCTTCCACACTTTTCGCAAGAAAATCCGCGTTCTGCATGGATTTTCATATGACGATTGAGGTCAAATTTGAAAATAAATGTTTTCTGGCAAAGCTGGCATTGATGTGGACGTCCACCAGCATGAATCATAAGATGTTGTGTCAAATGACCCTTCTATAAGTGGAATAACTATTACAAAAATACGTAATATACGTATGGTAGCAGGACTTCTAAATCTGAGAGGAGTTCACTTGAAAATCGTCACAGAGAAAGAAAATTATTGCTTTCGCAAGGATGAAAAAAAAAAGCGAAAATTACGACACAGTAATAAAGAACTGCAAAGAAGAAAAATGAAAACCTGGAAAAATGCTTTTCCACAATGTGGACAAACGTGCGATCTTTCACCGGTATGCCACATCCAATGCTTTTTTAATAGTTGCCGAGTTCCAAACTGTTTACCGCATTGAGTGCATGTATGCGGCTGTTCACCACTGTGTATTCTCATATGTGTTCGCAGTTCACGCTTTACCGCAAAAACAGTGTGACATTCATCACATTCATACTGTGGTTTATCACGATGTGTATGCGTATAATGAACGTTCAACTGAAAATAACACGTAGAAAAATTTTCCAGCTCTTTCCACTGTGCAAAACAAAATTCCCAGAAAACCGCGAATGGTGTAAAGTAAAAAAAATGGCGATTAATTTTAAAAAAAGTTTTTTTCACAGTATAAAATGCAAATAAAAAATCAATCTTAAAAGCAAGAAGAGAACCAAAAAATCAAAAAGTCTTCTCAAAAAGTGAGCGTGAAAGAAAAAGAAACCGTCAAACAGCCAAAAAGGCGAGATTGCAAAAAAAAAAAAAAAAAATTAAGACCATTTAATTAGTCACTCTTTGGAGAGAGTACATTCGAAAAATAAAGAAGGAAAAGAAAGGAGAAGAACTCAGAGCAAATTAATAAGTACTGCTGCACAATTTCTGCAGCTTGTTTAGCAAAGAGTAGCAGTAATGTTACTTCCTAAAACTGTGTCATACTTAAACTCGAATTTATAACAAAACAAAATTGTAAAACATTTCAATGTTTACCATCAAAAACTTGTTAACAAAAATTTGGAAAACTATTGCCACAATTGAAACAGAAAAAAAAACCGCATTAGAAAAATAAAACATCAAGAACTT